CCTGATTCAACAACTAATGTTTAATAAATACCTCTTTTCTCTATGACGACCGAAAAAGAGTACTAATCAGTAGGTTCATCATCAGCAATGTACATTTTCATGTCTTAAAAATGAAACGTAAATGATTGGTTTCCAGTTTAAAACTCACCGTGAACCTTTGGGTCAAAATTTACACATTTTCAGTATCACCAACTATTATTCAAATAAGTCAGCTCCACTCAAAAGAAAATTGTCGAGTTTATTAGGGCTTCTAGAATAATTGACAATTGTATTATTTGATATATTTTACATTTGTATCAAGTCGAATCAAGTCAAGTCAAGTCAAAGATCACTTTATTCATTCTAATGCATGAATTCTTGGCTCATTGCACAAGAGGATCATTTATAATCGCATACAACCACAAAGAGAAAGTGAAAAAACATTGTGACTTCATATACTGCATCAACCCAATTATCCTTTCCGTTCTCTGCTGACTTTATCTCATAATGATCACCTCAGGGGACATCCACTAAAGGTGAAGACCCAGAACAGCCATCTTGATTGCCGGTATCACTCGTTTGCAGTCAGAGTGTGCGGCGTATGGAATTCACTCTCCCATCTGATGTAGTGTGTGCCCCTACAGTTGAATTATTTAAATCGCAACTTGATAAAGCATTGAAACACTTAAAATTTCAACATCCGTGAGTGATCACGCACATTATTACCATTTTTATTTTCTCTTTTTGAAGTTATTCAAAAGATTCTGTAAAAATCCTATGGGGCTTTAGCTTTGTTAAATCGCTCATAATAAAACCTTGACTTTGACTTTGAAATAATGTGGCGTAAAAGTTTGAAAATGGATACCAATCGTGTAGGAAATTCAAAGTTTTCTCTAACGGATTCCTTTTGAGCCAGAAATCTTGAATAATATGGGATAACGGACAAAGGGTAGACAGTTTAAAATGGCATATAGTTACAGAATTAGATACGCATTGTTTAAGTTCTGTGTGTGATGGGTGAGTGATGTCTGACAGAATGTTATTGCAGAAGCTTTCGAAAGAGGTAAAATGTTTTTCGGTGATAAAGTTAAGCAAGTGCAAATAGGGAATACCGCTTGTGCGAGAAATAATTGTAATAGACCAACATAGAGGAAGATGAGTAACAACATAAGAATATACAAATCGAATGAGTAAATATATTAAAACGTTTAAAGAACGCAAGCGGGAAATAAAATTAGAGTTTAAATGTTAAGTCCAGGTCACACCATGGGGGATAGTGAGGGCGAGGTATTGCAGAGACTATACCGGGGGAACAGGATGGTTGGTAACATTGAGTACAGAACAATTCCTTTCAAAAGAATGTAGCTGGTCTCCTTTGGCTCGCAAGAATATGGCATCCCTACATTTAGACGTATTGAAAGATAACTCAGAAGACGTAGACCATAAGCCTAAGGCAGATAAACTGTTTTGAAGCTGTGAGAAGCGGAAATCACCTTAGAGTTTGGAACCTATGGTGATTTCATCAGCATACTAAATAAGAAGATCATCTGGGTCAGTGGGCAAGTTTCAAATGCAGAAAGAGAAAAGAACAAGGAACAGAACTGCTCCCTGGAGCACCCTCAATTGACCGGTGGGGAGTCAGAGGTTTTTCCAAGAAACTTCATAAAGCGTGTTCTACCAGTAAAATAATCTTGAAGCAGAGAGAGGGTAGTATGAGACAGTCCAGAACCCTGGAGTAGAGATAAAAGCCTGCTCCTGTCAACACAGTTAAATGCATTACTGTGGTCGCGGAAACACACGAAATGCTGTGCCGTGCATGTCTAGGGATCGAAAAATTGAGCTTACGAAATGCGCAAAGGCGTCTAAGGTAGAAAGTTGTTTGTGATAAGCGAACTGATTGTTATCTAGCTACCCAATGCTATAAACAATGTCACTAAACATAAGCTTTTCGAAAATCGTTAGTAAAACAGAACTGCAAGCGATTGGTCGCAGTTTCCCAGCTTCCGCTTTTGGGACTGGGGTGATGCGCACAGGTCTCCAACAGTCAACAATGTTTCATTCCTCGAAGAAAAATTTGAAAATACTGGAAAGTGGCTCCGCCGGATAATACGCACATTCCCTGAGGACGAATGAACATAATCCGTCGGGACCGGAAGCCTTTGATGTTTTGAGGCACATGAAATGTGCTTGCACCTGATTAGAATTGACATGCGAAGCTTCATGATGGTCAACTAATTAAAAATGTCCAACGATACTTCAGTTGGAGTTGATTTGGAAAACATGTAGTGGGTCGACGACCGCGTATACCAACTTTTGTTCCACAGAGTTTTTCCATAGCACTCCAGATTTGCTTGCAATTCCGACCACCAAGTAGGGCTTCAGTGTAGAGTTTGTCAAGGTTTTGGATCCCACTCTTGATCAGCACTGAAGTTTTTTTAACTAAAGCTCGGTCACGATTTTTATATGCTCGTTTTTTGCTTGTTCTGAGGGTCTTCAAATTGGGGAAAGAAAATCTGGCGGGACTGATGTACATAGGGGCCATGGAGCAGCAGATGTCAAAGCAAAAGTTCAAATATCTAGTTAGGTGTTCGTACGTGATCGAGACACTTCGGTCAAAGAACTGAGCAAAATTTGTACGAGAGATCGTTTATCTCAGTGATGCCAAGTGGGCCTGTTTGCACAGGCTAAGAAGAATCTTCCGGTTAGATGTTTGTGTCAGTGTACTATGATGTTTCTTTGAGTAAACTCTTGGCAAAAAGATTATGATACAATGATCAGAGTTTGCCACAGCACAGCAAACAGGTTAGGATCACTGAAAAACATAAGGTCAAGCTGCGGGTTTCCTCTTGTGGGGAAATTTACAAGATTGTGAAAAGAGAGACAAGTCAAGAAATGAACATCTGCATGGTTAAAATCACCACTAACAATAAAAAGAGAGCGTTCCGTATAGTTGGAAAGTTAGGTTATAAATTCCACTTTGCTTATTCGCCGAGCTTGGCAATTTGTTTGCAAACGTTCCATTACCAACCGAGGTGACATCATCAGTGCTTGTGAAGTCTTGATGATGTCACCTCGGCTGGTGAAGAAAAATTTGCAAACAAATTGCAAAGCTAGGCAAACAGGCAAAATGGAATTCAGTCTACCCGAGCTACGAGAACCGATTTTCAATATTTGTCAACAATTGGGATATAAATACATCAACAAACGTCTGCAAATCAGAAGTTGTACTGGAGGGTGCAATGTAAATGTTTAATGCTACGATGGAACTATATTTAATAAGAAAGCGAAGTTTACATTCAACAGAAATGCAAGAGATATATCTTACGTTGTAAATGAAGATAATATTTGTAGACTTATACCAAGACGATTTGGTGTAGGTTATTAGACCAACGCCTCGATTTCATAGTAAACAGTTTATATCCAGCCGATGCATATCAAAGAAATCCAGCTCAGCAAAGAGTCGTTGATGTCAGGATGCAACCACGTTTCTTGCAGAATGATTATCCCCAATGCATGGTATTTTTTCATCCCTATCAATTGTAAAGTCGCTCATTTTTCCAAATAGTGATTGTACGTTGAATGAGCAAATAGCTCGGATAGACATTTCCTGGGGTTTTATGTTACCTAAAGCCAATTGCCATCCTGCTCGGTGTTTTCTGAGGAAACCCTACCTAGACGGTCTGCATGTTTTTTTAACTTGATGACTGAACTGATAAAGAACGCTACTATGCGCGATAACACAATTTTTAAAATTCTTTTAGGATTCCGGGGCGTAGGTACTCATAGAAGCGATGAAAGAAACTTGATTTCAACAATTAAATCCAATGTGTGACGTAAACGTTGATAAATTATCCACTGAAGCACAAATATAGCACGGCCGAAATTCGAAGGCCCCCCCGTTTTCATCCAAAAATGAGATAAGATTAAAAACCGTTTATTGCGGTTGATCTTCCAAAGAATGGTTGTCTCACTTGAACATGAATAGTTGGTGCAAAACCGTTTGCCTCCGAAAACCACAAGAAGCACGTTCAAATGTCATTAGATGGCAAGAGGGACTTCCCAGCATTTATGCCGAAACAGATTGTTGGGTTATTTAGTTCGTATTTAATGACCTGTAACCAGTAGGTTCAAAAAATGTGACATGTTGCTTAAAAAAATTATGAAACCATCGGAAAACATGGTCTACAAATAGATAGAGGCTGCCTAACCGTGGCCACCATTGGAAACCAAGGATGAGAAAAAAAATTAACCTGATGGATAAGGATCATAAACATTAAATGGAAACACAATTTACCTTTGAAAAATAAAAAGGACATCAGTTTCAGACTGAGCATTTGTAAAGGTCAAATGGTGGGAATTTGGAATATGCTGCGCAAAGAGCTTTTAAACCTGGGTAAGATAATGTGCAATCCAGTACTTTACTTTCCTTTTTATTGCTTATGAAACAGAACAACACGTTTTGTAATTAGAATCTTTGTAAAAATTAAACTCAGGCTTTTGTGCTACTGTGTTAATCAACGGTCCTTTGGACAACCACTATTGGAAGTGATTTGAATGAGATGCAATTTTAGGTTTGATTTAATGTGAAATCCAAGTTCCAAATGGTAATAGCAACAGGTATGATTTCATAGTTACATCTGGTTGGTAATCAAGGTAGTTAGTGAATCAAAGAATTTTTAAACAAAACTTGTGAATAATATTTAAGGAATATCATTTTGATATATAAGATTTTGGAGGTGAATTGTCAGCCTTTAATGCCTCACTTCTTTCAGTCTGCTTTGATCAAACCGGGGTATGAGCACACGCTTTTGCAAGAAATTGTCCAAAAAACCTACTCAATGAATAAGGCCAAAGGTGATCAGGAAACCGGTGCTCTATACACGTTTTTTGCTGTTGTTTCGGAAGTCAGTCCTCCAAAGTCGCTACAGGTTAACCGGAAAGCTAAACTTGTTAATAATTTCGCGAATCTCGATAACGCTCAGACAGAAGCCAGCAATGTGCATCAGCAAGCTGATGATATGGAAACATTGAAGAAGTGTGAACTGTTCGTGTATGATGAGACCTGTAGCAGATTTCCTGTCACATTGTGGAATGAGGACTGGATTCATTTGGCCGTGACCACATTCATTCCAAACGTAAGTTGACGTGACACAGTGTGGAAGTGTTCAATGTCAGTGGTACAAGTTTTTAATAAAACCTCGTGGTGGGACAAATTTGTGAATTATTTAGTGATTATGTTGACACAGAATTGAATGTGGAAAGCGTAAGTGGCAGGTATGCGCATGGGTTCATTTGTAAAAAAAATTATTCAGATTAAGAGATTTTGTAAAACGTAAACAGGTGTAAAACGGTGAACAGGGCTCTTTGCATGTATTATGTTGTAAACGAATTATTTCATGTTCTTTTATAAGATATAGTTACAAAACGGAACCTCAGTATTATTTAGTTTTTTGACTATGTTCGATTACATAAAAACCGTTAAGCCTTAAATTTTCAAAGAAGCATTTTGACGACAATAACAGCAGAGGAAAAAAGTCAATAAAAATAAATCTCTCTCATTATCCATGCAAACAAATTCGCTCAGTTGGAATTACCTTAGACTAAAACCTTCAAAGAGTAAGATAAGAATAATCGGAATAAAATAACACAAATTTTTAAATCTCAATACACAGTATTGCATTCTATAACTTTAAATATGAACAATTTTGTTCAACAAACGTACGCTGGAATTAATTCAAACAGCTCTTATAGGAAGAATGCAAATTGTAGCTGTCGAATAGTCCTGGATTTCTTGCTCCTGGCTAACAACGAAAATGATAAAAAACGGGACGTTTTTAGGAAATTTTCTCTCTTATGTCGCAATCCTCTATAAGAATTAACTTTTGACTTGGAATAGCCACTTATGTTCACCTTTTTAGCTTATCTCTTATTTCGTACTCTTATCTACAATTAAGGGCGTTATATATTTTTCTGTCAACTTTATGTAAATGTTTATTTAGTTGGGCTTGTTAAATTCACACGGATGTGAACCTAACTTTTACTGCCACTTTTAACTTTTTAGGATGATCGAGAATCCATTTCCTCAACATGATGAACATTTAAAACGTTTCTTTAATTATCAAAGTTTTCTGATATCTTTCTCTCTGAAAACATTTTGCTCCATATTTCGAAAAGCTGTTTAGACGTACTTTGCCATCACCATTGTTGTTAGTATTTCCCCTTTGAATATTCTTCGTTTCTTCTTCATTATCTCGTCGACTGAAGCGCTCAATACTCATTTCTGTTATTCACGATAAAGACTAAACTTTAGTATGAACGCTGAATTCAACCCATACAATGTAAATCGTGATCACTTGGTGATGCTTCACTATTTTTCTCCCAAGTAATCTAACAGATAAAGTAGTTAGTTAGAAACAACGAGTTTTACCCATAAAGATTGTAGTTACGTTTTTATTTTTAATAGCTTTACTATGTTGGAAAAACGTGGTTTTTATTTAGGGCCTAAATGTTGAATATACACTATCCAATTTAACCTGTAATCAAATGATGGGATATTATACATAATCATGAAAAGTTACCTTATAGTAAACAACTTCCCGTAGTGTTGGACACTTCTTTCTCACGAAAAATATCCAACTGCGACAGTCGTATAATTATATTTGTCTCTACTAAACAGGTTACGATTTTATCATTTGTGGACTGTCCAGTGAAGTACGACAAATATCGTCGTGGTGTGGCTGCCACACCAAATGCACGGACAGTGATCATCGTTGCACCGGAATGCGAGGAAGCCAATCAATTAAGTCACTATATTAAACAAACTGGTAACCGTGCCCCGGGAAGCATACAATTTATTAACAACACACAGAGTAACGAAGAAAACCCGTTCACTCAACCAATGCCAACATTCAGTAGAAGACTACCTGCTGAGGTATGTAATTCCTTGTCGCGTTCATGAAAGTTAATGCTATTGGTGTTTAACGCATGAGTTATTCTATCCATTTATTTAAAAGATACTTAAATTCTTCGCTACTGCTAAACAATGAAATGATAATGGTATAACGAAAGGCTTCTGCTACTTTTTGATGTAGTCCGATGGAATCAAGTGACGAGTCGGTCACAAATCGTTTGAACTGCAACATAAACAGTATATGAACTGAGAAGTTGAAATAAAACACCTCATAAAGTAGAACAGTAAATATAAACGCATTATCTACAACTTCACTGAGAAGATAATCATTAGACAGTGAATTCAACCAATAATGCATTTGGGTCATACTTCGTAATCTTTAGTTATGTTAGGTGTTCAATCTTGGGTGAAATGTGGCAGGTATGGGGAACTATAGTTATTTAGATGAAACGAAGTACTTTTATCAGACATAAGGTTGAGTAAACTTAGTAAATGTTTGCATATATGTCAAATCATCGATGAGAAGTCAATGTGAATAAATGTCATTTTGATCTATTTTAGGTTTTACTCAAGGTTAATATTCATCCACTTTGCAGTCCGTTGTCGCATAACTGAAATGTAGACCGTTAGTACTGCGGCGTAATGTTTGAGTGACAGTTGTTTTACTGACCATTGAAAAGACCTTTTGCCATCAAAATGAGAACTGAGTTACAGAACATAGTGTAGTGTACGCAAGTTCTTAAAACATTGAAGATAAAGTAGTGGTATCTTGAAGGAAGAATAACAGTTTTTTCTAATTCTGACTAAAATCTTCTTGACGCATTTTCTCTCCACAGATTAAAACTGTTCCACTAAACAGTATACATCACATTGTGACAGTTAATGAGTTAAAGACTGGCAAAGGTGAGTGAGGGTTTCACAATGTTTTGTGAAAAACGATGTTAAGTTAGTTACCTTAGTATTTAGGCCATAGAGGATCATCTTCAAATTAAAATTGTCTAATCTAATGAAAATTAAGGACACTTTTCAGACAACATGACATTTTTATCTTTAGGAAGCATCAAGTAGAGTTTATTATCAATTTTCACCTTTGTTTGTTACAATCTGTGTGTAGATAAGATGATTCGATCTGTTTAGAATATTGGTTTGATGCACATGGGTTCTTAGCTTGACTTTTGAGGAACAAGCATTGATCATCAATGAAGTTGGTAGATACTGAATTCTGATTATTATCAAAACAGCGAAAAGAAAAAAGTGTATTTCAGCTTTTTAATTCAGTTGTTCTTTGCTAAGTACACAACACATGAAAAATACTTTTTTATGTCAAAATGGGTGGTGGGGGTGAGATGTGAGTTATTGAAGAGAAAGATGTTAAACCAATAAGTGGCCAGTGATTCTTGACTAACTGTCACTCAGACTTAATCTCCATGCACAACCCTCAGTTCTAGAAATCAAACACGATTTTTCGGAACGAAAAATTGAATGTTTACCCTCACTAGAGCTTAACAGGGGTGCATTGCAATTTACTTGCCCAAGTTGAAGCCTTGGCAAGTCATCTGCAAAGTATGCATGTTACTCTTTGTCAGTCACTCACACTTCAGATCCCGTAATTTAATTTTTGATCATTGCAGAGCAGAAAATTCAATGAACTAGGAAAACTAAATTGGCGATGCTTATAATGACTGATTTCCTTGCATAGGACAATTGCGTTGAAAATCGCAATAACTCTTGGCCTTCATTTTGAACAGCCGAGTATTAGATTCCCATTCCAAAGAGCGTTTGGCTTACTGAATGCCTTTCAATTTATTAGTTGAATGTTTTGAAAAGTGCCCATAAAAGTAGTGACAGTAATATTGCTTTTAAAACTTATTTAGTCACAACGGGATACGGGATTACGTTTGCTATGATATCAAAGATAGACTTAGACAAGTATGACCCATCACAACTTTTGAGATTGCAATGCAATACTTGCCAAAGGAGAATGAAGACTTGCAATCCACCGGGAGACTTCGGGATTCCAGCCCCCGGAAAATCATCAGGAGAACATTCCGCGGAATATTTCGTCATGTGCACTACCAATGAATGTCCGATATCAGGCCAGCGTTTTTCCATTTTGGATACACAGCATGCCCAAGTGAGTGGAACAAAGTCCAGAGTTGTTAGCTTACTTACCAAAAAGCTATCAGTAGTATTGCTTGACAGAGAATTCCCGTGTGGGTATCAAGAGAAAATCATTAGTAACGATCAGGCTCGTTTTCAACACTTTCTTATTTGGTATAGTAAAATATGCAATGTACAAATATATAATTTTAATCTCACCTATAACTCATTATCAATGAGAAAGTTTGCTAACCTAAACTTCTATTGTTTCTTTAGCACGGATTTGTAATACATGCGAGCAAATACCCAAGATATCTGATCATTTTACCTTGATTATGATGTTCTTGTGTACTTCCTTCAAATTGACTTGAGACTGAAATACTCTGAAAAAACAATAATTTATTTACTGGTGCAGCTGGGAAAATCTTATGATTCATAGAATTGGAAAATCGTTTTTTAAAGCGCATCATAAATGTTTAGCAGATGTTGTATTTAGGAGTACACTGGCTTCATATTACTCACAAATGTGCCATTCAGTTGCTGTTGTGCGCAACTGATTCAGAAGTTGGAAAAATGGATCATTATGCTTGTAATCTATCATATAATTATTATGACAAATAAATATGAGTTTCCTGAGGACTAACGTTTCTTTATCAAGCTCTTGAAATGCTGATAACTTTATTGTATTTCTGCTGCTAATAATCACTGATTTTCTGTCGATCCCTTATTTACAAGAATCACTGCAAGAACGTCACTACACGGCGGGTTCAAATTGTATTTGACAACCTCTTGTGGGCTATTGATTTAAAAATGAATTCTGCGAGATAAAAGAAGCTGGTTTTTGATAGTTATTCAAATAAAAGTGTAAAATACAATGGAAAAATTATCCATGGTTTTCTGACACGGTTTACAGGGGACTTCATTATACCATCTACGAAAGAGGCCTACATGATTCTGCATGCCTCTTCCTGTAGTGCCGCTGTTCCTTTCATCACTTTTGAGTTAAGTGGTGGCTCGACACAGTCATAGTAGATACAGTGCACGGTTCAAAAAGCTTTTGAATGAACATTGGAGTGTTGAGCAGTCAAAACCCGTGAAATATTCATTATCTGTTTCATCCAGTGGGTTAAAGAGTCCGGGGTGCAAGCTCCTCCTCGCAGTGTAAGAAGTCTCAGTTTTGTTTAACTGGGGTAAAAACCACGGAGATGGACCTATTTATTGATTCAACTGATCTTTTCGTACAGTTCCTTCAGACAAGTGTGTCTTTTTGTCTGAATTAAGTTACTGAAAGGGAAATAAAGTGATTGCTTTCATTTCAGTGAAAAAGATTGGCTAATGACTATTTGTCTCTAATTTCGCGAAAGTTGACTATTTTACTCACAAACCCATCTCTTGTATATCCAGAACAAACGTTTGAATATTCAATGGTTAGCCACAGACCGCTTCTATCCAACGTAAATTATAAAATGTTATCTATCCATGGTTGGGCGTAAAACAGAACCCAGTCATACTCCATCGATTTGTCTGCACACACGATAGCTGTGGGTGAGTTCTACGTCAAATGTGCATAAATTAACTAATTCTGAATGATCACTTAATGTTATTCAAATTTCAAATAATTCTACACAAAAATTTGTACCCATAAATACCAGACAACTGTGATCAGACAAGTGCTTGCGCGATATTCCAGTAATGCCCATTAATTTCTCTCTGTCCTACGCAATTCTTTTCCACATGAAAGATGCACCCTCAGAATAATTCCAGTTTAATCTGCTCGCTGGATAGCTCGAGTGAGGCAGGGTGTGTCTGCCGAATGGTAAGGAAATCAGTAACTATATTTAAGGTGTATGGAGTGGCAAAGAAGCTAGTTATTTGTTTTTCAGAATCATGTCAGCACAACATTATATATATATATGTCTATATATAATAAACACCGGCTTGCGGACAAGCATGGTGCCAACGCCACAACAATAGTAACATTACCAATAACAAGGGATGGGTGGATTGGGATACAAAACAGAGTGAAAGGAAGATGAAACAATTTAAAGGGAATAACAATTTTTTGTGTGTGCCTCACCGTCCATTTTCTGATATTTTTGTGTTAGCTTGTCGGTTTTACGGAGCATGGGATTTCGACAGGCAGACCGC